ACTCACTACTCAGTCGTAATTAATCCAGCAAGCTTGCTAACCATTACACCACGTCGAAATGTCTTGTTTTCTAAGCGTACCTTAGATAAGACACATCGCCGAAAGTGTGGGGCACCCAGTAAGGATCGAACTCACTACTCAGTCGTAATTAATCTTGCAAGACAAACTTGCTAACCATTACACAGCTTTAAAGTGCCTTTTTTCTAAGCATAGCTTAGATGTGGCACAAGGCCGAAACTGTGGGGCACCCAGTGAGAATCAAACTCACTACTCAGTTGTAATTGTTTTAGCGAGATAAGCTTGCTAACTATTACACCGTGTCGTGGTGCCTAGTGGTCTTGTAAGCGTAACTTAAATGTGGCACAAGGCCGAATATATGGGGTACTCAGTGAAGACTGAACACACTACACAGTCGCAATTGTTCTAGTGAGACAAGCTTACACACCATTTTACCTTATAAAAGTGCCCTATGTCTCGCCATATGCGTTAAAACATAGATAGGTTGATACAGACAGACTTTGTTTATGTGTCGTGTTATACAGTCTCATGTGGTACGTTGTGTGCTGGCTTCCTCTGTCATCCAGTATGTGCTGTGTGTCAAATTCTCCAAGCCCTCTTTCCTCATTATGCGCCCAAAAAATTTCAGCAATCTTTTTGACATTAAATACAGGGTGACCCTAAAAAACGGGAACTTTTTAACAATCCAATAAAACCAAGAGTGATGGAAGAAAAATATTTTATTCATAGTAATTGAAACCTTAAAATATGCCATTTAAGAAACAATGATGGAATTTTCATTTTTTTAAAATTATGTACCGTAACAGCAGATTTCAAGAATGCATTCGTACAGGAGTACGAATGCATTCTTGAAATCTGCTGTTGAGATTCCTCATTGAGTGCTGCAACATCTCAGCTGGGATACTGTGAATTTCATCTTGAATTCTAAATGGCGAAATATTTACTTGTTCAAGGTCACTGTCTCGCAGTGTTGCCACTTGCTCATGTCTGGCAATACGCACTTCAAAAATTCCCGTTTTTTGGGGTCACCCTGTATATGTCCTTTTTGTTTCTATTTTCTTTAAAACTGTCGTTGCTCACACGTTCAATCCATATTATTCTCAGCATCCTTCTGTAGAACCACATTTCTGTTGCTTCAAGTCTCTTCTTCATCTGTGAGGAGACTGTCCTGCAATCACTGTCACATAGGAAGACAGATATTATATAATGGTTTAGTACTCGTTTCTTTGTTTCTAATTATACACTAAGATAGACAAACATATGAACAGACTCAGAACACCTCGACGTGGAGTAATGGTTAGAAAGCTTGTCTTGCTAGATCAATTACGACTGAGTAGTGAGTTCGATCCTCACTGGCTGTCCCATACTTTCGGCCTTGTGCCACATCTAAACTGGGCTTAGAAAATCACTATGAACAGACTCAGATGGATATATTTAGAAAATGGATGAATGAAAAGAGGAAAATAATCGTTTATATACGTATCTACTTAGATATATAAACAGCCAGTTAAATCAGAGTCAAGAAAAGACAGAAACCGTGTTATTCCCTCAAATGAGGTCTAGGTAATTTATGCCCATTTTGCTAGCAAAGAATAACTCTATACAATTTGTACTGTATATGTTTATCTAGCTATGTATAGAGAAAATTAAATTAATACAAAATATTTCTGAAGTGTATTGAATATTTTTGGCATTATTTTTTCTTTATAAATAGTGTGAAAATAAATAGGTATAAAATAAATAAATGACTCCAGGTTTGGATCCAAATTCAAATCCAGGGATTACTTAATGCTGTGGGAGAAACCCCTCCCTGATTGATCATTTATTCAGAGTTGTAGCCATACTCACCATGCAGATTGGAGGTTAGGATTTCAGTGTGGTCCAAGATGGCTTACCACCCAAGGTTATAGGATTTATTCTGTCCTGCTATTTACACATAGCTGGAGGGCAGTTGAAGAGATAGATCTGTACCTTTCCCAAGGGTATTTGCATGTAAGTCAATTTAACAAAGTCGAATAGAATTCAAATTCTGCTCTCTCATTCCTCAATCCGAGCCACTATCTATTACTCCACAAAATGAATAGGTAGCCTATATTACTCATGTAATAACTGTTTATTTTTCTTTTAGTAAAACATATGGATTGACTTCCTACACACACACATTTATGTGTGTGTGTGTGTGTGTGTGTGTGTGTGTGTGTATGCGTGCATGTATGTATGTAGGCCACATTACTGAAAACATCTTGCTCTGAGGAAGGTCCTTTACATAAAACATCTGGCACCCAGCATAAACCTCAACTTATTCAGTAGTGGAAATGGTGTTTGGATAGTTTTTTTTTTTTAATACAAAGACGCCAACTCAAATTCCAACCACACTCAAGTGGCAAAGGTTAGAATAAATGCTACAACTATTCAAACAGCACAAAAACATCTTAAACAATCGACCATAAAAAGAAATTAATAATACCTAAAAACAAAACCCCCTTGAAAATGGCTGATGAAGTGGCTGAAAGTGTTTGGGACAATAGACAATTTTTGCCCTCCCTTACTCCCACCAAATGGAAAAATGTTTATTTTGTGGATACCCATCTTGAGTAGAGGATATATTAATCTTGCTAGGCTTTGATGCTCTCCATTGCCAAGTGGTCTAAAGTAGAGTTTGTCAACCTTTTCTCCCTTGTGTCCAATTTCTGGCCCATACAAGCACAAATAGAAATTCCACGTAACAGGAAATACATTTTATTTATGAAAGCAAAATGTAGTGGAAAATATAAATCCTGATTGAAGGAGGGAAATTTAAAATCAAATTTCATTATCTGTAAATAAAACTGTTTGATAAATTATAAATAACTAATGATGGAAATGTGGATTGACAGTACTCATAGAATACAGATAAAGTAAAAAACTAAAATAAAATTTTTGTTAATTCATTCTGTCATTGTAACTCAATAACTCACGTTAAATGCCTCAAAAATGCTGGTTTCAAATAAATGAAAAATAAATTAAATGAACACAAAGTCTTCTAACACCACACAATAAAACAAAAAAAAAGTATTTCAAATCAATTTGAAAATATAATTTATTGTAAGAAAAAAAATGAACATTTTTCCTAAATAATTTACGAACTATTTACTTTTCAAAATAAAGTAAAACAGTTTGTGCTTTCATAATTTTTCAACAGTGGAAAAAAATGGAATTTCAAAGCCCACCAATTCCTTGGGCCAACTCCAGGTCCTTTTTTAAAATTTCTCAGGCACACCTGTGGGCCAAAGTGCACATGTTGATGATCAGCAGAAAGTATGCTGGGTCAGATTGTGGTTTCTCCTACAAAGAGGGATGCAGGTTCAAACCCTGCTAGAATGAACATTTTCACTTCATTTAGTCTCTGATTTGTGCAAGGCAGTAAAAATAGTTCATACAGTTTTAAAAAAGAACAAAGGAAAAAAAAAACAGAATGTCTATTCAAACAAAGGTACCCACAAAATAACATTTAGTGTAGCAGAATTTGGGGAAAACTAAATAAAAAATTAATTTAATTTTCCTTGTCTGTCATATTCAATGAAACTTGTTTAAAAGAAATATATAAATATATATATATCTAAGTATAGGATTGGTGTAGACGGAATAAAATTCCAATAACCAAAAACACTATTCTTAAAAGAGTGCTCAATACAGAGTAGAGCAAATATTATTTATTCAAAAATAACATCACTACAAAAATAGTCATTTTGTTTCAACACTTCTGGTGTCTTCTCAAGGCCATCACTTTAGAAGACACCAAAATTGTTGAAACAAAATGGCTATTTTGTAGTGATGTTATAATTTTGAATAAATATATATATATATATATATATATATATATATATATATATATATATTAAATGTGTTAACAAGGAAGGAGATTAGGTTAAAAATGTTTGTTGCATAAAATAAATATTTTTCATTTTATATACATACATACATATATATATATAAAAAAAAAAAAAAAAAAAATATATATATATATATATATATATATATATATATAAAATGAAAAATATTTATTATTTTTAACCTAATCTCCTTCCTTGTTAACACATTATATATATATATATATATATATATTATATAATTTATTCAAAAAATTATAACATCACTACAAAAATAGCCCAAAAAATGTTTGTTGCATAAAATAAAATAAATATTTTTCATTATATATATATATATATAAAATAAAAATACACCCTACATTATATAAATATTGTCCGAATTCACCCTACAATATATAAATTAGAAATAATAATGTTCAATACTTATCAAAGGTCAAATTATCTAACAATCAGGTATTACCGCAACATCTGACTAACTTTAGATGACTGTCCACTCGGTTCATTTCTTTCCCATATCTCACTAGACATTTTACATATTTCCCAAACTCATTCCCCCTGAAAATAAAGGACCTCATTTTTAAATTCTTTTTTCTCTTTTTCTTTGTTTGAGATAAACAAATTTTTGCCTATAGTTCTTAGAAATCCACATTTTTCTCTCTTTCGCACACACGTGGGTATGTGCGTACAGTTATCTAGGCTTATATAAGTCTGGGTATGTTTGGGTGGTTTTTAAAGAATAGGAATGTCAGTGACAAATGCAAGAATGAAGACTGCACATTGTGCAAGGATAATTAATTATGTTTGTATGAAAGGAGGTATAAATGTTTACATGATGAACTGAATCATACAGGTGTGGGAATATTTGGTGTTATAGGGAAAACTTATTCATTGCAGTGGAGATTTTCCATATCCCCTCAGGTTTTTCCAAGATGATAGAGAGATAGACAGATATGAAAAAGAGGAGATAGATTCATTCTTGTGATATATACAACTAATTTATTGCAAAGCTTCTCATGTCATGAAAAAAGAATTAATTATTATTCTGTGAACTTACCTAATATTTTTTTTATCTGAACTCATTTACTGAGCCATTCATATCCAGAAATTATTCCTTCAGGATGTTGATAGATAGATATGAACAGATTGAGATAGATAGATAGATAGATAGATAGATAGATAGATAGATAGATGAACAGATTGAGATAGATAGATGTGAACAGATTGAAATAGATAGATAGATAGATATGAACAGATTGAGATAGATAGATAGATAGATAGATAGATATGAACAGATTGAAATAGATAGATAGATATGAACAGATTGAGATAGATAGATAGATAGATAGATAGATAGATAGATAGATAGATATGAACAGATTGAAATAGATAGATAGATAGATATGAACAGATTGAGATAGATAGATATGAACAGATTGAGATAGATAGATATGAACAGATTGAGATAGATAGATAGATAGATAGATAGATATGAACAGATTGAGATAGATAGATAGATATGAACAGATTGAGATAGATAGATAGATATGAACAGATTGAGATAGATAGATAGATATGAACAGATTGAGATAGATAGATAGATATGAACAGATTGAGATAGATAGATAGATATGAACAGATTGAGATAGATAGATATGAACAGATTGAGATACATAGATATGAACAGATACATAGATATGAACAGATTGACATAGATAAATAGATATGAACAGATTGAGATAGATAGATAGATAGATAGATAGATAGATAGATATAAACAGATTGATACAGAATATTGTATTTATTTGAAATAGATAGAGCTTCCAAATGCAACAGGAGAGGAATGTGTTTCCTTAAATACATATGCCTTAAAAAACTTTTGTTCTGGTTTTTATCTGGATTTGAACTGTAAATAAGATTCATTCACATCTTGTACTTCAAGTAAAAAAGATAGTGAAACATTAGAATAGGAACTATATATATATATATATATATATATATATATATATATATTGAAATATCATTTGGTTTGACCAATCTCCATTTAATTTACAATTAAAGACCACAATTGCCTCAAAATGTTTTGCTATAATGAATAAATACTTTCTGGTGAATGGCATATTCTGTAATATTTTAAATATGAATACAGTAAGAATCTGTGTTGTTTTATATACTATTAGAAATCATTAAATTCTATATGCAGGTTTTTATCTGTTGATTTTTATTTGATCTTCAGAAAAGCAATCACTTTAAAGCATGGACCACTTTTAATCTTAATTTTTTAGTAGACCCTACCACCCAATAATCATTCAATGAAAAAAAGTTATTTTATTTTTTTCTAATAGATAAATTTAGGAAGTGTATTACAGAAATAGTTATTGTATAAACTTTATTTTGAAATGAAACTAATTTATTGGAAATAAACTTGTATTTAACAACTAAATTCTATGGAACATTTATGCACACTAGTAAAATAACTCAATTCTCTACATGCAATGTGTGAAAGCATGTGCAATACCCTGTCTTCGTCAGCCGCCAACCAGGGGAGGTAACAGTTTCATTGGCTAAGGTGGTAATGCCACCCCTGGTGCCACCAGCAGCTTTTGCGACCAGACAGTTGTGTTGTGAGCATGGTTTTATTTAACTTATTTGGATCTAGATCCAACTCAATGCCTGTTGAGCTCATAATAAACCATTTTAAAATATGTGAGTAATTAATGAATTAAAAAAAGTGAACATTAGATCCCTCTGGATGATACTGCTCAATAGGCTAATACTCTTAAGCTTTCCATTATATATAATCATTATATAATCATTATATAATCATTATATTATATAAAATTATATAATCATTATATAATCATTATATAATTTACATATGAAATTAATTCTATTTTTTAATAATTTTATATTAATTTATATTAATATTTTATTAACGTTTAAAATTAATTATTAATTTATTATTTATATAATAAATTATAATCTTCACATAATTTTTCTTTATATATCTGTCTCAGTTTTTATTCAACTTTTACAATCAAAACATCCAACAGAGTAAAACAGACACTAACTTAAACACTTGATTTCATTTTATGCTAGTTTTAGAGTTGTTTTTCTATTTTTTGTATTTTAATATGGTAGAAATTCCAATTCTCAGTTCTAACAGTTTGAAAGTGAATTTGCTCTATGGACCACTAAAATATTACCATGGACCCCCAATTTGATATTTTTTGTGGACCCACAGTAATGTTACATGCCCCCCCCTCAGTGTCCATATGGACCCCTGTTGAGAACCACTGGATTAAAGCATAACCATTGGTGTTTGTTTAGTAACTTTAGTTCATTACATTTCCTTAGTTTTATCAATTTATCTATTTGCAATTGTCTTAACCAAGTTATATTTTGTCTCATTTATGTTACAATTATGACATTCATTTTTTTTATTTCAAAAATTACTTAATAATAATAATATGCTTCAACCAGTTTCAGTGACCACTTAAAAAAAAAAAAGGAAAGAAATATATAAAAAAAAAATTCAATGAATTCTCTGACAAGGTTGAGGCAAAATGTTATGGAAATGCTGACTCACCGAAAATTTCATTCATAGAGATAAAAAAATAAATAAATAAAAAATAAAAAATAAAAACACAAGAAGAAAGAGGAACGTAGAGGAAGGTAGAAAGAAAGCAAAATCAAAATGGAGGTGAAGGAAGAATGAGAGAAGAAAGTAAAAATAAAGCCTGGAAAGAATAAATCTATATTAAAATGAAGGAACGTCTAAATAGAATGAAAGGGGGAAAAGGGAATGCATAAGGAATGCTTGGCAAATGACAGACCTATGAAGAAATCGAAGTTTCCATAGTTTATTGGCCCTGTGATTTTTGTAGGCATCCATTAAGAATCTAAAATGTACACAATTCATAGGAGAGAGGAAAAACACACATTCATGTATGGATCTTCTTTTATGTCCCGTATCATTTCAGGACGTGTGTGATCATGGCTGTAAATATCATTTTGGCCATACCATGATTTGGGTATAGGAATGGTTTCCCTGATAAAAAAAAAAAAAGAGTGGACATAGAGGTTCGATTCCTGTAGATAGACATTTTTCTTTTGTAGGACTTCTTGATCTAGGCCGGTTGATATTAATTTTATTGCTTTCAAGAAAAAAAAAAGAATGATAGCCACACGATTTTTTCTTCAGCTATAGAATTTACCCCAACATGAATAACGCACATATAACCAACAGTCAACATACGTACAGACACCAGCAGCTACTAGAAATTTGATACACACACACAATATATATCTTTCCCATTTTCCTTCAGCTAACATCTTCAAGAATTAAAACACATGGACAATACCAGACGGACAAACAAAAAACCGACTAGAATGCACAAACACTAACACCACAAGACAAACACATGCAATTTAGCTGACGAATGAAAAATAAAGACAGATTTCAAATGTACCGGAACATAACTCATTTGCCAAAATCTTTGATGAAGCTTAAATAAAAGCGAAACATGTTAAATTTACAAACGTTTCCTATTTATTCCTTATTCTATCATATAGGAACGGTGGAGTAATGGATAGCAGCTTGGATTGAGGAATCGGAAAGGCGAATTCGAATTCCAATTGAGTTCATTACATTCGTTTACGTCCTAATACCCTTAGGAAAGGCATGAATCCTGGGTGGTGAACGGTCTAGAGGTCAACCCTGAATAGAAAACCTGCGGAGGGTCGTTTAGGGACATTGTGCGCCAGTTCTCAGTATTCGGCTTTGTGTGGTTGGTTCTGCACAAGCCTTGACCACTATATCAAATGATTGTGGGTTCTAAAAACTGAGCTGCTTGACTCTAAAACGTTGAAAAACGAAAAATGACGGGTGAGTCCAGCACTAATATATATATATATATATATATATATATATATATATGTATATATGTGTGTGTGATGAAGGAGATGCTAAAATGTTCTCACCCAGCCAAAGAAGACCTTCCTATCAGAAATCTGATGTTTGGTCAGATCTTTGGTAACTGAACCAGGCTGAGAACTTTTCTGCACGCCTTCATACACACACACACACACACACACACATATATTAGAGCATAGTTGAATAAAATACAAATATATAGAGAGAGACTATAGTATAACAATGCAGCATACTGACATTTTGGCATATTGGGCCTTTTAACAACCAAACAGTTACTGCTGCTGTCACTATTAGCAACCTCGTAATGACCAATGAAGGTAGCATCATCATTGACATCCCTATCACTTTCGTTATAGGATCAATCGTAGAACTCTCAGTCACCCACTGTTTCAATACCACCACCACCACCTTTACAGACTCCATCATTATCATGGTAGTCGTCCAATATTATATCTATCAATATTTCCCCTCCAGCGTAATCTTGTCACTACCATTACTACATATACCGTACCACAACCAGCTTCCCTACCACAATATCTCTGTTCATTGTGACATTTCTATTGTCATCATCATGATCAGCACTATAACACAGCCATTATCAACTTTACACTTTAAACTCTTTATTCACGAGCATAGGAACAGCATTGTCACTGACATAACCAAAACGATCCCATCACAATTACACAAGTCTCTATCGTCAGCAACACATAAAACGAGTATCTTCTTCATTTGATGAGACATTGTTAGCATTAAGCTTTCCCATATCGCTGCCCTAATCAAAAGTATCCTTTGTCATGGCTCGCTTCTTTTTTTTTCTTACTTTAATAATTATCGTCATTATCAGGGCCAATGCATACTACCCACGACCGACTGGGGTCCAAGCTTGATTGAGAGTCCTGGGCAGTGTTTTGTGGCCCTTGCTATTTTACCAGCATTTGCTTTTTTTTTCTACCTACAATTATATACGCTACAAATTAAACTAAGCGCAACTGACTATTAAAGGATGAAAAATGTCATTTTTTTTTTCAACTTTTAACAAGAAAAATCTCAAACTGTGTATAAAATTGCCACAAAACATTGATTTAATTAGGTAACAATAAATCTGTAATATGAATACTAACTTATGAAAAGTGAGATGATGTAGTAGTGTGTGTGTGTGTGTGGGGGGGCTGTATCATCGATTCGGTGTGCCATCCACCAGAACCTTGCACTGACTGGCTGTCTCTCTCTTTTTCTCTCTCTCATATATATATATATATATATTATACACGCACAACTACATCATCATATGTAGTACATCATGTCTACTACATGTGGTACATATCTGTGTGTGTGTGTGTATATATATATATATATATATATATATATATAGTGTATTGGGACGGAAGATCATTATTTAAACATATTATTAAATATAACAGACAATGAATGTCTATTATGTCTGATTATGAGCCGTTTTAATGTTTCCTTTAATTGCTGGTGAAAATAAAGACAAAAATTGTCCAACATTTGGATATTTTTTTTATTAAGTTGGTCCTAAGCTTTCTGCTTACATTAGCCATCCTCAGATTGGTTGTACAGACGTGAAACAAAGATATCCATCGTCAAAGATGATATTTTTTTTTTTATTTAGACATAGAAAAACATAGCCATGTATATAACACTAGATAGATATCATTAGTTGATAAGACAATAATACTCACACATACACACAGTAAAAAGAATCTTCAGATATTGGAGGCCATCTACATTAAAACAAAGCAACCCACACTCAACAAAATTACATTTCAAACTTGTCACATTATATTGCATTTGGACATTGGTTCTGTTGTAATACTTCGGTCTATCGCGTGGTATGATGTCATAGAACCGCATCTTGAACTTATGATCTGCGTCTGCTATTCAGCGACCGTTGTCGTCGCATATAAATTTTCTACGTCAAAATAACAAAATATCATCTTTGACGGTGGATATTTTTGTTTCATATCTATATAACCATTCTGAGATGGCTCATGTAAGCCGAAAGCTTAGGACCAAATTAATAAAAAATATATAAATGTTGGACAATATTTGTTTTTATTTTCACCTGAAATTAAAGCACACATTAGAACGGCTCATGATCAGACATAATAGACATTCATTGTCTGTCATATTTAATAATAGATGCTTAAATATATATATATATATATATATATATATATATATATATATATATATATATATGTGTGTGTGTGTCTACTATGTCATGTAGTACATCTCTACTACTTTATGTAGTTTTCATGTAAAGTACAAATTTATTGTAACCTAATTATATACAATAAATTGGGATCAAATACAGATTAAAAAAATGGATCGGAATCAGCGATCTTAATAACTGGGGTGTGGAGATTTTTATTTTTCTTAATATGCAATAAACCTATTTTTTTAAAATACTTTTCAATAAATAATTTCATGGTAATTGTTCTGATGAACTCTCCTTTATGGTACCTATACTTTATGAATTTAAGTGAGGTACTAGATGGTCAATAAGATCTCATCATTTTACACTCTCCAGCTGAAATGGCTAGATGCAACGTAAGTTACATGCTGACAGTTTTTTTTCTCACACTTCTCTTCTAGCATCTTGCTTTCTAATTGTTATGGTCCAGGTTAGGACCAAGGAAGAACAACACGAACACAAGAGTAGAAATAACGAAGGTATATTACACAAAATAATAATACAAGATGTGGAAGGTGTTAGTATGACAGTCAGTCTGGTATGGAGTGAACTACTATCGGCTCGACTTGATACGATATTTACTTGCACCCCCCTCACGAGGGAAAGATGTGGCACAAGGCCGAGTTTAACGTGGGTTTCCCGAGCCCGTAGGCTCGGCTAAAAAATGCCCGTAGAACCCGTATAAACGGGATCGGGTTGGTCAACCTCCCCGAACGAGACTCTGCCCTTCGGCGGAGCCTCGTCCGGGTTCCTTTCTGCTCTGTATCGAGCCACTCCCCCACGAAGGTTGCATGTGGCACAAAGCCGAGTTTAACGTGAGTTTCCCGAGCCCGTAGGCTCGGCCAAAAAATGCCCGTAGAAACTGTAAAAACAGAATCGGGTTGGTCAACCTCCTCGTCCGGGTTCCTCTCTGCTCAGAGGCAGAGAGTTCGACCGTCAAGCCGAGAAGCTCGGCTTGATTCGGTATCTAGCCACCCCCCCACGAGGGTTGCATGCGACACAAGGTCATTTTTTTATCGTGGGTTTCCCTGAGCCCGTAGGCTCAGCCAAAATATGCCCGTATAACTCGTAAAAACGAGATAGGGTAGGTCATTCACCCCGAACGAGATTCTGCCCTTCGGCGGAACCTCGTCCGGGTTCCTTTCTGCTCAAAAGCAGAGAGTTCGACCGTCAAGTCGAGAAGCTCGGCTTGATTCGACCCTCTCTCTTGAGAGGCGTAGTATACATAGTGTTAGGAAAAGTTCATTCTGTAGTTATAGGTAAGGACCCATGACACTAATCAAGTTTGATCGTCAAAAATTTAAATGCAATGTCAATCGTTATCTTCTGTCCTCTTAAGTCCTCTTTTTTTATGTTCTCTCCTTAAAAATGTTTTTCTTATATTCTTTCATACTCAGTAACACACAGCGTGTTAAAGGCGTTGTTGCGTTGCTTGGGGTGAAATAAATAAATAAATAAAAACGGTTAGAAAATCATTTAAAGGCTTAAAAAGTGCAAAATTAATATTTGGTTTGGTCGTAAGACCAACTGGGGTCGGAAAATTTCCTAAAACAAAAAAAAAAAACCCCAAAATCAGAAACAACTGACCTTCACCTCAAGTATCTCAGAATACCAACGTTCTTTATTAATTGTTATTACATTTGTAATATTAAATCGTTTTGACACTGTCACTTTATCAAACCCTGTTAAACTTTTAGTCATTTTTCTATGTTCTCCTCTTTTCTCAGCTTCTGACACTTTTTTTCATACACATCCCTTATTTTTTCTTACAACCTCCCATAATGCATCCCCCCTCTCTCTCTCTCTCTCAACATCTGTTTTCATTTCTTTTACTCTGGTATTTGAGCATTCTCTTTCCTACCAGAAAACTAATTTGTTCCCATCTGATCTGATTCTCTCTTTTTTACTTACATGTTTTTTATCTCTCCTTTCATAACAGCCCCACTAGTTCCTCTGACCCCCTTTCTTGTTTTCACATTCTTTGCGTCTTCCCATATCCCGTACGGTTTTTCTTTCTCTTTTATCAATCTCCTCTTATTCTTCAATTCCTACCTCGTTCTCTCTTTCGATCCCTTTCATTTTTAAACGAAAATAAATATATAAATAAAACCCTATCCGCGCCATCTCTTATTTCAGTGTCACTCGACCTGCATCGAAGTAAATGCCCCTGTCCTTTAGACCATTCGAAAACCCAGAGAACGCGGATACAAGAACGGGTAGGTTCGTCAGAGAAAAAGGCCGACACACAGGGAAAATGAGAGATAAAGAAAGCAGAGTGACTTTTTTTTTTTTTTTGACGGTAGTGTATTTGGCATCGTTCGGGAAGGGATCAAGTTGAGAAAGCACAAAAACTGTAACGCCGTGGTCAATAGCAGATGTTTTCTGCAGTTGGAACTGTCAGACAGACTAGGTGGGTCGGTAAGATTGCAGGATATGTCGATTAGAATGTGCGTGTGCTTGCTCGCTTGCGTGTGTGCGTGCGTGTCTGCCCTGCTCTGCTAACATCTACTGACGGAAATATATGTGCCAAAGAAGTGCCAAAAAAAGAAAAAGAAAAAAAGGAACAATACGCAGACATTTGTCTATCGCGTGTACACACGAGTATCTCAGACTTTTTGTTGTGTCCAGAAAGAGTAAACATAACGATCCTAAAATTCGTTTTCGTCTTAGTCAAAACATTTACTTAGCATGGGAAAAAACTGAGAAATTATTAGTGAGTACTAACAACTTAAAACTATTTTTTGTGGGGATGGAGGCAGGCACTAAAACAAAACTAAAAAACAAAACAAAACAATAACAAACGTAATCATTTATTTCATCACTTTAAATCCATTAATTCTCGTATTAGTTAAGAATTTTTTTATGTAAAGGACTTAATCAGATATTTTTATTACTTCAAACATTATTTATTATGGATAGTCCTGTTTGAAATGGACGTTTTTATTTGAAACAGCATGTATTACGTCTATCGGTCTGCACACGTGAGGAAACTTAAAGCTAGCACATTGTCTTTATTAAGTGTTCTCAAGTTCACAAGCCGATAGACGTATACACTAAAATACCGTCTGAAAAAATAGAATATTATATATATTTCTTATTAAACCAGTGGTTCCCAAAGTTTTTTTTTCTCTGGGCCGCATTTTCGGAATTTAAAATTTGCTTCCGACTCACCAAATTTTATGTGATTAAAAATAAAGAGAGAGAGAGAGAGAGGGGGGGGATTTAAAGGGAGATAACCACGGATTTGAAATCCGAACACATTATGACTGATAACTCTCTCCTCCATTTTACAGAGGGTAGTTACTATATTCTTAATACGTGATATGATGCAAAAATAACACAATGATAAAATTGGTCAATTATTATTTATAACTATTTATACTGGGATTCATGCATGCAATTACAAGTATTCCATCATAAAATTTTAAATTTTGAAATCATATTTATTTTTGGCATATGATTTTTTAAAAAAAACAAACTGTTTCTTTGATTGTCTTTCAATCATTCCGCCTCAACTGCTATCCTCTTCCGCCTCACCTATCAGGTGGGCCGAGCCATTTTGGAACCACTGCTATAAACACTAAATTTAATGTGTACACGTATTTGAATTTCTGTTGTTTTTTTTTTGTTGTTGTTTTTTTGGCGGGGAGGGGGTCTGTTCTTAAACAGTGTCGGGGGAAAAATCTTTTTTTAGTAGGACTTCAATCTTTGCCGTTTGTTATTAATTTCACCGTTTCAGGAAAAAAAATCAACCCACTATTCGTTTCGATCTTCATCAAAACGTTTAAATCGCCTGGAGAACTTTGCAAGTTATTAGAAATAACCAATAAAGAGGAGATTGAGAAGGTTCGAAAAAAAAAAAAAAAAGAAAGGTTGACAATACCATGGATGGAGCATGTGAGCAACGATAAAGCTTTAAGGAAAACAGAAATAAAAAGGAGACTTATATATAAAATCATAAACAGAGGGTATCTGGGCTAGATAATATGGATAGAGGGCTTGGAGAATTTGACACTTACAGGATATTGTAGACAAGAGAGACAGAGGGAAACAGCACATAACCTACTAACAAGATTGTGTAAACGGATAGAAGAACAGGGACTGAGAGGGACGGTAAAGAGGAAAACGTTGCTTGGAGGTATGAAAGATAGGAAGTAGGGGAGAGCCATGATTGCCTATATGAGTAAAGTTTGAAAAGAATTCGACGGAATGGTAAATCTACACGCAAATTTGAAAATATGTTTAAAAATCTAATTAAAATCCAATTTCTATAACGATACATTGAAAAAATATATATTCAAGAAAACGATAAATTAAAAAAAAAATCAAGCGTTGAAACGTTTAATGTTATTCAGGTTTCTTCTTGTTAATGTTTGACATTATGATTAGGATCCTCCATCCCTTAGAATTGGAAAATGTTATTCTATCGCAATTTCAAATGTTTCTGCCAGTGAACGAATTCTCTGGAATTTTCAAAGCAGCATCCACTTTGACCAAAGATGAACAGAAGAGTAAATGAGTGGATAAGGGTTTTTGAGACCAAGTGGCAACAAAACCGGACATGGAGCATATCCGGTTGCTGGTCTATATTAACAGTTATTCTTGGGATCAGAGTAGTCACTCTTGGTCCGCCCTTCGCGGTGAACAGATCGCCCTTCGCGTAGTTTTGATGACGTTCGTTCGTATTATTACTATTAGGATGTGTAGATAGTTGAAGAGTTAGTAGGGAGAAGATCTGAGCTGTTAGACTTATATGGCAGAAGTTATCCCTCGGTCTCCCACCTACATAACGAGACCGAATAAACGAAGCCCTGAATTAAAAAAAAGCCGTATTTTATAATACTGGAAACAGAGTTCGTGTTATTTCTCGACGTGGAAGAAGTTATCATCTTTGTTGTCTTGGGGATATGCAGCGGGCCTTTCTCAGTTTTCGGTGCACACGCCAGATCATTGACGAAAAATGACAAATTTAAATGTTACCATATTGTCTTTATGTCAACATTGTTAAAAAAAGAAATTGTTATTTTTTTCGAGGAAGAATGCACGATATCAACGATAGAACGTTTCAAGATATAAATAGAGTGACCATAACAATTCATACTGTATGATGACCAACAGCCTCACGCCTTAACCTATTGTTAGACAAGGCGTGAAAATACCAGTCATTATGCAATGTTAATTTTGTTCACACACTAAGGTGTGACGCACTCTGCAACCGGGCGATCTAAAGAACGGCTTATCAAACGATGGCTTCTACAAAGGGAGACGCAGATTCAAACTCTGCTGGAAGGTATATTTTCTTTAAGAAATCGTGAATGCAAAGGCCAATAAATGTAATTTATGTGCTATAAATAAAAAATAAAATGAAAAATCACGGCGTCTACTCAAACCGTGCATCCATTAAAATATTATGTTTAAATAAGAAATAATATCGGATTAGAAATGTAAAAAAGTTATTAATTCCTGAGAAATTACTTTGTACAAGTTTCGGATACGAAAATAAAAATTAGATCTGGTCTTTCAAGAAGATTCGAACAAGAAAACGTGCATTCCTTATCGATATAATAAATGCAAATGTCAGTGTGTCACACTTTTTCAATTTTACTCCGAGAGGCCGTAGCCCAACATATCATACCATGTTGGAATGAGGCCGACTCCGTGAGTAAATTAAAAACATTCCGGGTTGGATTCGAACCCGAAATTTTGAATTCCCAAATTTTCATCATTGCGATTGTTTTCGGTGATTTTTTTTTTACGTGATTTTTTGTCCGATAACAGTTTTTATAATTTGGAAATAAATTTGAGAATAATCGAAATTAATTGCAAATGCGAAAGTCACCCATAAAATAAAAATAATTGCTTGTACGGAAAGTAAGGACCTATGTACATCAGTTTAATTGTCTTTAAAGTAAGTGGCAGCAGAAGAATTATCATTGAACTTTTAAAAGGTAAGCTTAAATATTAATGCAATACTTAAATGAAGTGATCAGGTTTGAGTTTTTCTGTAATTTATTGTTGCCTATCGCATCTAGTCCTCCCTACCTATTGTGATAAAGGCCCAATCCGCAGGAGCTAGCTTAAATGCCGCGCGATAGGGTGGCTTTTAAGCTTATATATATATATATATATATATATATATATACACTAATAATATTAGTAATAATACATTCACAACTTCAGTTTATAAAAAAAAAACTAGTAAAACTCTTGCCATCTTAATTTCCCTAGTAAATGCCCGCTTCGATATAAAATAAGTGTTATTAAAAAAAATTCTCAAGAGAACGCATAAGAATTCATCCTCTCGCATTTAAAGAATTAAATAACGTAAAACAAACGCTTATTAGTAACGGATTTCCTAATTGAAATTCCAGGCCTCTTTCTTTTGAAGAACAGTTTTTCGCTACCGAGGTTCCTCTACACTCTCCGAAGTGCCCCTTGCTACCTCGACAGGATTTCTTAAATGAGATAGATATCACAATTAAGAGATGCGCAGAGCTAATTTGCAACGTTAATTTCGAGGCTGGAGGCAGGCAAAGTTCCCTTTGAGTTTCGGAGGCCTGGGCCTTCGATTACCGATAGATTTGGGCCTTCGATTACCGATAGATTTGGCCCTTCCAGCATTTCTTCACTTTCGTCCAGTCGTGAATTAATTGATGAGATACTCGGTGGGTCGTTCTCGGGTAGTTCTTTCGAACAAGCTTGCAGCGTCTGGGCCCAAGAATTACTTTCTATCCCACTAGATACATCAAAACAAAAAAGCTGGGATAAAATAAAATGCGAGGCCAATTTTTCTATTTTGAGGCTCTCTCTGGATCAGCATCGCCTCGCCTGTCTACTATCTGCTTCACAACCGAGTAGGGGCGCCTGCCTCAACGCAGTACCCTCTTCATCTACTGGTACCCTTTTAGATGATGAGTGCACTCGGGTCGGAGTCGCAATCCGTCTTGGACTCAAATTATGTGAGCGTCACAGATGTAGATGTGGAGCTTCCATCGATGAGTTTGGTTTGCATCCTCTCTGCTGTCGTCGTAGTTCCGGCCGCTTTCCACGGCATGCAGCAATAAACGACATCATCAGAAGAGGTTTGGATGCAGCTTGGTTCACTTCCCAAATCGAACTCGTAGGCCTCGACCGTGGTGATGGTAAGTGGCCGGGTGGCATTACCATTTTCCCTTTTAAAATGTGAAAGTCGTTGATTTGGGATGCGATTTGTGCGGATACATTTTCGACCGGTAATTTGATCAGGTCCACTGTTGAGCCAGGGACGCAGAGATAAAAAAAATAAATAAATATTCTTCTCTTACTGATAGATTTTTTTTTTTTTTTTTTACTCCTGTGGCAGTGGAGACTTCTGTTGTTATTGGACCTCTTTCGATGGCGTTCCTTCGGAGGATTGGCGCGATTGTGTCTCGATTAAGGGACGAGCCTTGCGAAACGGAGTGGCTCTTGCAGCGTGTCTCACTGGCGATAGTTCTAGATAATGCTTTCTCCTTCATTGTGGCTGGCAGAGGATAGCAAAAAAAAAACAAAAAAAAACCATTTTGTTTATAGTTACTCTGCTTAATTTTTTTTCAATAAATAATTTTTATGATTGTTGGATTTCCATATTAGGCTTTTTATGTCTTAGATAGCTAATAGCAACGACGAGAATATAAACATAAACAATAACATTAATATTTTTTTTATAAAAATCTTACAAACAAGATGAAACTAGAATTAAGAACATTATAAAAAATGCACAACACCATTAGACAATAGCATAAAAAATAGACTAATTATTTATTACAAAATATTTAAAACCGCCGACCTTATAGTTAAAAATAATAATTCACCACTTAGAACGAAATTAAATAGAACAAATATTATTCACGAATTTAGATGTTCATTAAGGAAGTGTACTCCTGATCAATCAAAATTCGTAAACAATTATATAGGCCACACTACAACATGTTTGACAAGAAGACTCACACTACATCTCTCTGGCCACAGCTCAGTAAGGTCTCATTTAAAATGGAAACCTACTAGACACTATTCATAAGATACTTGTTGATAACACAAATATAATAGCATCATCTACATGCATAAAAGGCTAAAAATAATGGAAGCCTTATTAATAAAAACAAAAACAACATTCAATAATATCAACTATGAACATGGACACAATATCTTGACAGTGTTTTGAAAATGAAACATTATATAAATACATACATACAACAATCTATTTCTTGTTAACAGTTAATATATTTCAACCTTGAAAATGGCTAAATGTATAGCCGAAAGCGCTCGGCAAAACAACAATTGGACAGTTTTTATATAATTTATTTACCGAAAAGAAAAAAATATATAAGATCACATGGGAAGATGCATAAAAAACTTAATCAAAGCACATTGTCTCTCATATTCAAATGAAACTTATATATATATATATATATATATATATATACACTACGGGCAAAATGTTTGGGGTCACCTTGCAATTCTTTTTTTTTAAAAAAAAGATCTTCAAAATGCGATGTTTGTATTCTAAAGTAAAACATAAAATTTCAGCAAGTACAATGTATTTGCTTTTATTTTTAAGTCTCTCCCGAGGCTCTTATTATCAAAAAGTTCAAATATGGATTAATCTGTTCACATTTTGTTAAATTATGAATATTCTGTATGAGAAACATTTTTGCTTTTATCATTAACCTCTCAATTGACTTTTTGAGATTATGAAAAGAGGGGGAGATTTGATTCAGACCAAGGGAATCATGAAAAAAAAAACATATCTGATTTTGCAAGAACATGCATCATCTGCTTTACGTATAATTGTAAAAAAAAAAATCACCTTTTCTTAAACAATCCAAAAACACTCTTCTAAATTATGTCAAAATTACCTATTTTATTTTTTTTTAAAAAAAGAACATTTTGGAAATTATGATTTGGATGCCTCAATCTCCTGACTGTTCTCCCATTTAATGGG